TTAATAATATGTAACATAGCATATTCTCTTACTAGTTAGTTGATGTTAATGGGAACTCCTAGAATCACAAAGCAAGCATCCTTCGAACATCGAGTAATCAGAATCAAAGCATAACCTAAATAGACTATCCTATCACTGACTGATCAGTACTAGCATGCAAGTCTACAAGCTCATACAACAGGCATATAAAGGCATCTCTCCTAGCATTCTATCATGAAATCATGAGTAGATCCTTATCCCTAATCAAGCATGCGGTTCACAGATTCACAATTAAAAGCCTAACACAAAACATGTATGGGTATTTTGGAAAAACTTACTTGAGCTCGGTCGATAGCATGCACCACACCCCTTTACTGTATTAGAAAACTCTTTTCACAAAACATTTCTTTTTATAAAAATATGCCAAACCCTTAGTGTGAGTTCATATATACCCGAAAGTATGCCTGAATCCTTCAAACAAAGGCTCTGATACCAACTTGTAATGTCCAAAAATTTAAAACCAAAAATTTCATTTTTGTATTAATAAAACCATCAACCAAACATGTTTATAAAAACCATAAAAGAAAAATCAAAGTATATCAATCAATCATCCAAAATAAATCAGAGTCAAATAAGGCGAAAATCATGATGTGTGCAATGCGATCATCCCGAGCTCTTCCTCTTCGATCCGGAAGTACCTAAAACATAAACTGAAAACCGTAAGCACGAAGCTTAGTGAGTTCCCTAAAATACCGCATACCATACATATCTGCCAGCTCAAGGTAGTGCCGGGTCTTTTTCACCCCCGAGTTTATTTTAACTCATATGTTGGCCCAAGGCCGTACCGGGTCTATTTCACGCCCAAGTCTATTTCAACTCATATGCCAACACAAGGCTTTACCGGGTCCATTTCACCCCCAGGTTTATTTCACCCCACATACATATTGTAAACATGCACATAGGAATACAATACATATAGCAGGAGTCACAAAGACTACAAGCACATAACATATCCTAGTGTCTTATAGTATAGTAAGCGAACTCACCTCATTTTGCTTTCAGTCAAACAGATGCTCGGGCTGCTGATCCGAAGATCCATGCTAACCAATCAAATAAAACCCCAATTAATAATTGGGCCATAAACCATATCCGGGAATCTAATTCATTAGTCCCAAAACCCAAGGTAAAAGACCATTTTACCCTTCCCTCGCTTGGCCCAATAACCGAGGCCCAAACTCAATGGCTCTAAAGCCCACTAGTGGCCCAATTCCTAAAGGACACCCAAGCCCCATATGGTCCTAAATACTAGAAGGCCCAAAGCCTATCAATGACCCAAAGTCCGAAAACTAGTGGCCCGACAAGGCCCATAAACCCATCATTGTGTCTCACGTCATGACCAATCCTTGGTTACATCGTGAGAGTCACCCGTTCTGATTCCAAAGTCTCGTTCCTGACTCAGACAACTCAGCAGGGGGGACGGGTTTTGCATGCTCACGTCGTGAGACCTCATGTCTCAGGTCGTGAGAACGGTCTGAAGCCAAAACCAATGTTTCAACGTTCTTAATTCATTCAGCCATCAATTTCAACACTTATATAAGCTTAAGGGGACCCTAATGGTCCATAAAAAATGCTTGCTTTATGGACATGCACGCACCATGCATGTCCTCCCCCACCATTTAAGGTCAAAAGTAGAAATAGGGCCTCATGTTCTCATGCATGCTTCTAATACTCCACCAGCTTCCAGATCTGGATGATATGATACTCAAAAGACCATTTGAATCCATAAAGTTGCTAATTTTATGGATCTTCTTCACTCTAAAAAGCTATAACTTAAGGAACTGGGAGCAAAAACCTATATCTAGCCATGAAATGAAATAAAGCTTGAGTCTTGATACTTACAAGGGTCCAAACAAGAGAAGAGCTAATGGCAATGATGTATCCTTACAACTTTCTCCACAATGAGGCTTCTTCTCTCCCTTTCTTCTCCTTCAAACAAGCAAAACACCAAGGATCTCAAAAAGGGTCGAAATTAGGGTTTCCAGATGGCTTAGAGGATGAGAGAGGCTGAGGGTGGGCAACCATAGCCTCTCATTCCATTAAATACTCAAAATTAGGGTTTTGGGTCATTAAGTCGTGCTCACGTCGTAAGACCTTATGCTTCACGTCGTGAGACTCCAAAAATGCGGGTTAATGGGTCAATGACCACTCACGATGTGACCACCAAAACTCACGTCGTGAGCCTCCTCCAAAAGGCCATAAATCAAGAAATTGAGTACATCGGGGTTCTGGATGTTACACAAACATTTCAAAAGACATTGTACGATAGGTGATATGTGTTCCCAATAACTCATCTCAAATTATGGTCACTTCTAGCAATCCTTTTCCATAGAGAAACCTTTTTCAATCATTTCCTATAAGTTAGAGAATAGGTTACTAAAAATGTCAAAAATATCCATAGGGTCATAAAACTTACAAACTCTCAAATTGTTAATTTTTAACCTAATTAAGACTAATAGAAGTGAAATAAGACCAAATGGATAAGCAAAACTCCGGGAATTAATAAAGTATGAAACGACATGAGTAGGTTTTTACTAATTAAGTGTACGCATCGCGTTCTACATTACGTGTTGGGTTCACTTGGGAAGGCGTCGCGTTCTGTACATCAGTTTACTATTTTTAGTTTTCATTTCCATTTGGGCATCTACTTTTCATATTAACTTGTGGTTTCTTATAGTAATCTTTTGTAAAACTACTATGGATTCCCAAACATATTAAGGCATTGAAACATGATAAAACACTTGACTGGATCCATTAAGTCATCACAATAATACCGTAGTTTTATTGCCCATTAAACTTTACTTATGGAGTTAAGAGCTCAAAATGCCCACACATAGTAATGAACTATATTTTTGTAAACTAACAATCTAACTATAGAAGCGCTATTTTACTCCATAGTTCAAATATTGCCCTTATAGCCAAACAATCCCTAAGATCACCTAGAGATCAAGCAATCCTTCATCTTTTGGAACCAAATCATTCCCAATTTATCGATTCATGAATTAGAGTATCATTTACACATCTCATTCAAGTGAGTTTGTGTATCCAATATGTATTTATAGCAACAAAACCGCATTTATGATAATAGAATCATTCGCATAACGGATTAACACTCATAAATCCCCAATTTAAAATCTAGCGTTCATAGCTAGATTTTTAATCAAACTTCAAATCCGTCAAGTGAACGATATGATTGATCTTAGAACCATAGAAACCACTTAAGGAGGGTGAACAAAACCCCAAGCATCAAAATTTACTCAATTTGACTTGAAATTCTCACTCAAAATCCTAACTCAAGCATAGAGCTTACAAGGAAAAAAATTATACCTCTAATGATCCCGATGACTTCAATCTCTCACTTAAACTTCAAACTCCAACCCTAAAGGTCCCTTTTGGAACCCAAATTCGTCATTTCTTCATCTCCGTCTCATCTCATGTTGAGATATTGCTCCTTAAGCAAGAATTTGATGAAGAAATACTTGATTCTAGAAAGTCGCCATGGGGAGAGCTCCCAATTGCTCAAAATTATGATATGAAGAAATGAGTAGGAGGGATGCATCTTATTCTTAAGTTTTGATTTTTACCCTTAAGAACGCATGTTTTTCTATAAAAAAAACCCAACTCCCATATTTGCAACTCTAACTTAGGAAGTTACCACCCTTAGTCCTTCCCCGCCATGACTTATAACAAAACTGGTTGCTCTCTCAACTTGGTCAACTTACTATTTACGGTCCAACTTCCACGTATATGACACTTCTAGTTATTTTTCACCAAATTGTCCAATAATGTTTTTTGTTTAATCAAATTTTATATCAACCATCATTATAATTTCTATATCATCATTTAACTTCAACTTTTATTTGTTTTATTTAGTAATTTATTTTCCATTTAACCCAAAATTCTAATCCCAAAATAGGTGTTCCAATTCCGTTTGAAGTACCCAAATTCGATATCTAGGTCATCATCTTTGTTCGATTTCCATCTCTCCACTTCCAGCCGGAGATGGTCTGCAAGATCTCCCCAAATTGTTGTGCGTTCTTCTTACTGATGAGTTCGGCCTCCTCACGTCTCTTGGCGACATCTACCTCCGAATCAACGCTTTCTTTTGTGTTAGACTTTGTCATCTTGATACCAGAACTCGTTGCTATGATACCAATTAATAAGATTGTTACCTGAATTCGAGAACATGAAATCTCCAAAAAGTCGTGTACAACTTGTTTATTGCCTGCATAATCCTAAACAAGGAATGAAGTACTATATTATAGTGTCCTGCTAGAAAAACAAACCCAAAACAACTCAATCTTCTAGATAACGACTTTATCCTAACTACCATAAACAAATTAAACTTGCTCCCTACTCCACTTTATTACTGGCGCATGCCGTATCACACAATCAAAAGGCCAATGAGTCGGATTTTTGAAAGAGTTTGATTTTTGCAATCTTGATGTGATGTTGAACAACCAATAAAGATTCTAATTTATGAACGTTAAAGACGCTTTTTTTGGTGAGTCTTGACCCTTGTTGTTGTCTATATTCATGACACTTGATTTGAGATGTAGCGAGTAAATTTTGGATTATCTGATCTCTATTTGTGATTTCTTTGAACCCACAACATGGGTGCTTGTATTCACCTTTGATTAGACTATTAAACAAGTTTGTGATTTTGTCGATTGGTTTGAAATTTCAAGGATGAGAGATGTTACATGCCAACAAAAGAGAACAAACCACATACGAATGATACAACAGAGGCAACAGGGCGCAGAGCAAATGACAAGGCAGTGAACAACCAACATCAAGGCAACAAAAGACAATTGAGGAGACCTTTGATCTCCTGTGTATAACACAACAAGCAGATGATGTGATTGTGCTTCAATATAAAAAGATTTTGCATGGATAATTTTGTCTTTTTAACATAAGTATACATAATGGAATTCAATTCTTTCGAATATGGACATTGATATAGACTTTAGCGAGATTGATAATGGTAAGTGTTACAACTAATCATTTAACAATAATAATGCAAAAGAAAACATTCAGAACACGAACTACGAACCGGAAAATAATGAGAGATATGAGTATGGGTTTGTTAGATGTTGTCCTAAGGTCGCCATAAGATACTGATACAAGACTCTGAATCTTGTTTAATCGTAAATGTCGGACTATGATCTTCTTCCTCATCCCAAAATTCAGAGCAATCTATTGCGATTTTTGTTGTTTCCATGGAGTCAAGTTTACTTTTCCCAGGAATGAGCTTAGCTGCAAATGAACTCAAATACTTGGTGGTTGTGGAAAATGAAAGGATACTGTACGATGGATTCAGCAAAGTAGTTCGCTTTAATGAACTAAAGGAAACATATCCTATGAATGATGTGTCATGCTCCAGTGCTCCTCCGTTAGATTCCTGCGAGACCTCAAATGGAGGATCTTGATCATCTCGCTCTGGTTTGATGATTATATTAATCTTCTTAAGTCCATAGCGGGTAACAACACACATTAAGAACCCACAAAAATCATTGTACCAATCATGTGGAAGACACAGCGTAAATGTGCTCCCCCTATCATGTAGAAGATGCACTGCACATGTGTTACACCCAAAGAGTCTACTTACAAACCCCTTTGAAATCTTATGCGGAAGATGGACACTGATAAAGTGATCTTCAATAGCATTTCCCTGCCATGTAAAACACATTCAATATTCATATGAATAAGATTGAAATTGCCAAGGTATGTAGAGCCAAACCTGGAGCATGGAGCCTAGTAATATGTCACCACAAAGTTTGGTCCCTATCCAAAGTGAGACTTTCCACAACCATTTACAGTTTGAAATATCACCCAAGGTTTCAAGTGAGTCGCAATAATCTGCCATAACAGCAGCTATACTTGATGGAAGCTCTGTCAATTCTACAAGGTCATAGCAGTTTCTCACATTGAGCCATTTGAGCCGAGGAAGCCGCAAGCGACTAAAACTTGTTTCGTGAAAGATTGAGTTCTTGCAAGTTGGGTAACTCACAAACAGTAGAACCTATGTCTTCATCTTCCAAATTGCACTGGCTGAGATCCAACTTTCTTAAGAAGCCGACTTCTTGCAGGTTGTGAAAAAGCAGAGACCCTATGTGGTGGTTCATGTTGTTGTGAGGTAAACAAGGCTCCTCTAAACAGAATTCTTTATCCAAATGAAAATGTGGTAAATTTTCCATGTTTTGTTGTTGGATCTCTGAGGGTTTAAAAAGTTTGTAGCACTGTGTGAAAATAAGGGTCTTGAGATTCTTTAGCCGGGTGATGGGTGGAAATATCTTAAAACTTTCACAACGTTCAATAGATAGTAAAACAAGGCTTTCCAAGCGCCCAATTGATGGATTAATCTCTTCTAAATGCATGCAGCTTTCAAGCGTCAATTTTTCAAGATTTGGCAGTCCATCAAAATCTGGTGTTATGATTAAGTGGTCCAAACAATAAAGTTCTATGATTCTCAAAGCTGGTAGATACTGTTCATGTATACAAGTGAAAACCAGTCAAAAATGTATCAATTAAGGAAGAAACGGACACAAATGCAGACAGACATCTCAGTGATATGCTATTTCAATATGAGAAGATCATTAAACAAAAAACTAATCCCTTTCATCCATACATGGAAATCATTTGAAGTGTTTGATTACTTGTTTAAATATCTAAAAGCATGACTTGATAAAAACAAAATAATAAAAGAACACAGATCGATGATATCAATATTTTATAATGGTTATTAGTACAAAAAAATAGATCAAAATCTCGCCCAAACAATAATATAGTATTTAATTTATTTTCAAAAAAACAAAAGGAAACTTGTATTTATGTTAGAACAAAAGAATATTTGGATGGAGGATGCGCAATATATAACCACTATGGATTACAATGACTAATCTGTCAATATCATATCAAACAAGTAGTATTTTAGACAAAACTGCAAAAATGATCCCTGTGGTTTGCACTTTTCTTTGGGTAAGTCCAAAAATCTTTCGACTTGCAAAATTTGTCTGTATGCGAAGGTTTTGTTGTGGATTTGGTCCCTAACTTTAACATCCGTTTATTTTATTTTAGGGATCAAATCCACAACAAAACCCTCGAATAAGGACCATTTTTGCAAGTCGAAAGATTTTTGGACCTTATCCAAATGAAGTGAAAACCACAGGGACCATTTTTGCAGTTTTGTCTATAATTTATAAATTTTAATCCTTATTAACCCAAAGGACATTTATAGAGTAAAGGTCCATGCTATTAACACCATGAATACTTCAAATTTACTCTGAATTACTCATGTCTATAATTTAGCATCAGTTTTGTTTTCATATGTAAATTAGATAAACAATACAAATTACCTTACAGCCCTCCCAAAGTTGTTTTTGCAAGCCACCAACCAATATTAGACAACAAAGCTCCCTTGGTGGGAAGTTATTAAGCAATAGATTTGCAGGATCACCTATCCAGAACAAATACCGAAGGTTCTTCATGTTAGCAGCAATTGGAGGAAGAACTTGTCCTTCTAGCAATCTATCACTCTCAACTTTTATTGCTTCAACCTTGTCAAGTTCCTGTGATAAGAGAAACAAAATGGTGTCAGGGTTTCAGTCAGAGTGTTTTGTTATATACATGTTGGAAATGTAGCTTAACCCATTACCATTGTGCATCCATAGCACATATTTTTAGAAGATCTTCCTTCCTCCAAAGTCTGCTATGTTTTTCAGGATTCTTAGGGTGTTTCCCTCTAACAATGTAGTGTCCCATTTCTTGCACCAGATCATGCATATCAAACTCTCCATCTTCAGAAATAGTTATGAGAGCTTTTTGTATCAACACCTTCACTCCTATAACAGAATGAAAACCACAAGCATCGAGCATCTCCATTGCTGTATCTTTCTTCACCGACCTAAAAAAGCATGCGATGTCTAGGAACAAGTGTTTGTCAGCCCTTGTAAGTCCATCAAAGCTGATTTTTAGCGTTTCAAGGATATTATCATTTGGGATCTCTTTCAGTCTGGCTAATGCACTCCTCCACTCATTAATGTTTTTGTCACACAGAAAAGAACCAAGAACTGTAAGTGCTAATGGAAGCCCACCAGCATAAGACACCACCTCTTTTGAAAGCTGCTCATAATCTTCAATAGCTTCCATGGGTCTATAGTCCAGGCTTGCATGTTTGCGCAAGAGCTTAATAGCCTCATCATTGTTTAATAACCTAATATTGTGCATCACATTTACTCTGTGTGCATTTAATAAATGCACATCTCGGGTTGTGATTATTATTCGGCTTCCTTCACCGAACCAATTATGTGATCCAGCTAATGCTTTTAGTTGGTCAAGCTGATCGACATCATCAAGAACAATCAAGACCTTTCTATGGCATAACCTATCCATTATCACCTGTCTTCCTTCCTCAACTCTCCATATTACATTCGCTTGTTTTTTCTTCAATACACTAGAAAGGATTATTTCTTGCAGTTTTTCCAAACCATTCTTGCTTGATTCATCCCGGATATTTTTTACAAAACAGCAACCATCAAACTTGCTAGAAATTTCATCATAAATAGAAGATGCAAGAGTAGTCTTACCACCACCCCCAACCCCCCATATTCCAATCATACGCACACCTCCCGACCCAATTTGTAAATCTGATTTAAAATGTTGCATGCGAATTGCTAGTCCGATCAGGTTCTCATTTGCACTTGCAGTTACTAGCTGCAACCTCTGTGAAATTGTGTCAACAATTTCGTTGATAACCTTCGCTTCATGCCTATACATTGGATATGCCAGGATAATTAAAACATGTTCACATTTTCATAAGTCACGACATAAAAATGTAAAGTTAATATCACAAGTAGTCTGTAACAATTTTCTTGGGAAACATCAAATAATTTCAAATAGAAAAAAGTGATCCAAGATTGTTGTTGTAGTATGAAGCGCAATGTTAAGTACAGAATTAGAATTAAAACTCAATGAAGTCCATCATAACTTAAGCTAATTGATCCAGTTAATCCTTTATCACGGTTATCAACACCATCAAGAATAATCAGAACAGTTGTATAAAAAACTTATAAGGTACACGCATAAACGGCATGTGGAGCACACATACTTTAAGCATAAAAAGTGCAAAGATAAAGAAGAAAAATACCCATTAGCAATGTGTTTGGGTTCCCATCCAGAAATGTTACTTGCATCCACAAGTGCTTTTCTCCAAGATTCAACTTTCCTCTTGTTCTCCAACTCCTGTTTGGAACATGATTCTCTGTGTTTCTGTTTTTGTTCTCGTGGTGCAAAGAGCCATCCCCAAGGGTTATCCACAAATGTTTGTGTCCAAGATTTAACTTTGTTTTTGTTCTCCAACTCATGTTTTGAAAATGCTTCTCCATATTTTCGTTTTTGTTTTCGCACATCAGAGGGATCCACGTCATAAAATATAGGCATAACGACTTGACCTTTAGTATCCTTGCATTTCATAATACATAAAAGTTCATCTAAGCACCATGATGAATCTGCATAGTTTTCAGAGAATATGATGACAGCAATCTGTGATTCTTCTATAGCCTTCACAAGGGATGGACCTATCGATTCACCCCGGGGAAGTGTTTCGTCATCCTTGTAAGTGTAGATCCCTTGTTGTTCAAGAGCTGAGTAGAGATGATCCACAAAAGTCTTGCGAGTATCTTCTCCTCTAAAGCTAAGAAAAACATGGTATTTCCATGGTTGAGAAGAAAAGGCTGGAACAGAGGGAGAAGATGATGGAGATGCCATGGATGTTTTGATTTGTTGAGAAAGAATGTATATGGTTTGAGCACCTCAATAAATAAACTTTATACCGAGATATTCAACTTTCCAATAAAACCTGTTATCATGTAGAAAAATCTTGTCAGAAATCATAATTGAAGTAATATGTTACCATGTAGAAAATCGCATAACTAATCCTTAATTACATTTTCTTTTTCAATTTTTGGTCTTAAAAACCCCTTTGAAGTCTAATACAAGTACAATTCTAAAGATAGGCATGAACTGATTTAGGTACGTGAGTTAGTTTTTACAGAATCACATTATACAAACTAATGTTTTTTTCTTAATTCTACATTAATATTTTTCTTATAAGACTTGAAGGAATTCCCAATAGAAAACAAATATTACCACTCCCTTTCTAAACTCTTTACTTTCCTCAATTCCTCCACCGCTTGACTATTCTCTCTTAATTCTCTAGATTGGCTAACCATGGAGTGAAAATAATGAACAGCCTCTCCTATTTTATGCATGGGGTACACTCAATAATTAATTCAATCAAAATTATTGTATTTAATTTCGTAGTTAAAAGACAGACTCTATCTATAAACCCGACTCCAAGTGTTTCTCAATGAAAAATCAAGAAACAATTCCCATCAGGACATGTCTATTTACACCTTGGTTACTAAAATACTGAATTTCCTCTAAACAGTCCCACTCCCACTTACATCTTTAACATCCTGATCCTCCAATCATTTTAAACATCATTGCTAACATGTTGTCCATATATTTATAACTTGATGTCAAAATCTATCTCTTGTAGTACATATAGCCTTCAAGATTTCCTCACCAAATCACAATTTACAACTTTCACAGCCATATCATGTAATTAAACCAGTATTTTCATCACTAACCAGACTCGATCTGAAACACCGCAATCGGTAATCAGTAAATCAATGGGTAATCATTAAATGACTAGTATCTTTAATGTTATGTACTAATAAATTAATAATGAATTTCTCCAGTATTTGATACTTAAACGTAGCAAGACACGAATTTAAATAGTGCCCAACAAATACACGGCAATGCACAACGGATAAATCCCCCTATTTCCATTTTCTCTTTGTGTCCACAACACATACACACATCATTAGTCATTTTCCTACAAATTCCATTCGTTTATAACATACACGACAGCATATTAACTTTACAAATTTCTTAATTTGATCATCTAACTACACTAATTCAGAAACTTCACAACTTTGACTAAATTAGGTCAAAATAAAATTTCTCACATTCCGGGTCGACATTTTTTTTTAACTCTTTGAGAAAATTTACTAAATAACTTATATAAAACTTAATTAACGCTTCCATTTTATATAGTTAACACTTCCATTTGTTTATTGGTAACTTATAATTCATCAATTTATCAGTTTCAGGAACGTACCTCAAATTCCCAGCAACACCAAACTTTAGCAGACACGCATTAATTTTTACTTTGCAAGCCTTATAATTTGATTTCCATAGGATATCTTCCTTAATTTCTTCTTTCGACTTGGGTCGATTTAAGTATCTTGACTCTTTTCTCTCGGTTATTCCGATCGATTAACGAGGGAGTGAAAATAATGAGAAACTAATTATAATACCCTTAAATTTTCGACAAATTTGCATAAATAGTCCTTTTATTTGACGAAATCAACTAACTCTAGTTCTTATAACCAATGAATTTGCATGGATGATCCTTGTGCTTTTAAAGTCTTGCAAATGTGGTTTTTTTGCTAGCGGTATTAAGTTTTTTCAGTTAAATCCAATCTAAAATGACACGCATTTACCCTTCCTGTCATAGAGGCCGTTTATGTAATTTTTTCCAATCACAGAAATCATTTATGTAATTTTGTCTATTATTTATTATCTTTTTATTTAATTATTTATATTTTTTAGATTTTAGATTTTTTTGACTCGTTTTTGTTCGAATATATTGCTTAATGTTTATTTACATTTTTTCATTTGTATATTTTGACGTTTAGCTCAAACAATTTTTTTTTTTTAAGATGATGTTTTATTCGAATACATTTACTAATATTTTCTTTGATGTTTTTTTTTCAAAAAAATTTTAGCGTTTTATTCAAACACATTTTTAATGCTATTTTTTATGTTTTGTTTGTTTATATTTGTTAAATATACCATGGTGATGGTAATAATAGTTTATAACTTAATTCACTTACAATAATGTTTTTTTGTTCTTTTAACACATATAAGGTTTAATAATTATTATTTTTTATTACAAATACTTAAATATATAAAATTGTTTGTTAAACATGAATAGGATTAAAAAAAGTATAATTTTCTTTTTGTAAAAAAGTAATTGTTTGTTAAAGGAAATTGTTTATCTCGGTCGGAGTGAGTTAGATGGTTCGGAAGAAGTGCATAGCTTAGAACAAGGTCCATCACAAACCGTTCATAACAAATGAGCATCACATTTCTTTTTATAATTATTTAGAAAATACATAATCAAAAATAATATTATTTTTTACTACATTAAAAATAGATGATTGATATCTTTGACAAACTTTTTTATCATATATTTTGAGATTAATATTATTTTATGGGAAAACTGTTGGATTAGTGTCTAAGTCTATAACTATATTTGGTATATATTTGACCCAGTTGTAGCATGGTCCTTTTGGGTTGCCTTCACCGGAGCAACTTGACTGGATGAATAATAGAGAAAGAGGTTATTATGGTTTATTAATATATTATATGAATAATATATTAAAGGAGAAATCATATTGGTTAATTAATATTGGTCAAAGAATTAATTAAGAATTAATTTTGTGATCAAAAGATATTAATTGAACATAGGGGACTGGAATTGCAATTATAAGATAATTGAATTTTGGGCTGTGGATCTCTTAGAAGGGGATGGACGAAATCAAGAGGGAAGCCCACATTGAATTCGTCCAAGGCCTTGCTTCTGGAAGGATCTTTAAACTGCTTAAGGCCTAAACAATCCAATTAGGGTTTTGACTGAAACCCTAGTAGCTCACATATATAAGGAACCCATTGGCTTTCATTTTTCGGCTACCACAACCCTAAGAAGAGTTCATAGAGCCGAAATTCACCTCCCCTCTCTCTCTTGCATTCTCCAATTGCTTTGGTGTTTGTGATCTATTAGATCACAACATTTGAGTTGCTAGGATTCTCAAAAGCTCAAGATCTTCAAGCAACAATCAAGGTAACATTATTACTAGTTTATTTATGTTGATTTCAAGTTTTGTTGTATGCTAGATTAGGGTTTGCAGGTCTTGGACAATTGTTGCATGTACAAATAGAAAAACTAGACCCAAGCATTAGGGTTTGCATGAACACCATAGGAATGTTGTTTTGCTCATAACCCATTAGTGGTATCAGAGCCTAGATCGTTTCTCTTTTGTATTTGATGCATAGATAATTTGTTCAAGCTCAAAAGTCGAAAATTCCAGCCTCTGACTGATGGACTAGGCGAGTCACGGCTACTCGGCGAGTCCTGTTCTATGACTCGGCGAGTCGGCTCGTCTGGTGGCTGATTTTTTGGGATTTTGACTAAAATTAAATTGGGATAATTACCAAAAACGATTTTGACTGATAAAACTCGATTTTTCCAATATGGTATTGATTATCTTAATTCAATTGAAGGATAATTGTCATAAATAAGATAATTACTTGTTTTATAAGATAAATTTAATTATTTGTATTTTTGATTTGAATTATCTTGAAAGAAAATAGATTAGGTCAAATTATGTGATAAATATTAATAATATGATTAATTAATAATTTTTCAAATTTGATCTAATAAATGTTTTTGAAAAGTTTCAAAACTTGCCCTCAGTTTTTTGAATTAAAATTTTTTGATTAAAAGTTTAATTTTGAAAATATTTAAATTCTAAACCCTATAATTTTACAAGTTTAAAATTCAACCCTTATACTATTATAGTATTATAAGATTAATAATATATATATATATATATATATATATATAAGATTAAGCTAGTCTTACCGTTAGTATGCCTCATTCACGAAGTCGATCTATAAAGGGGGGGGGGGGGGGGGGGGGTATAAGGTTGCTGCCTATAAAATGGCAGTTTAATGGGTGTCCACTCTCACCCACGGCTTCCTTGATTGGTGGAGGGTTGTTAGCCGAACGGGTATGATAGGGCAACTAATTCCTCATTAAAAGTATAATGATTAATAAAGTAACTAAATGTTTTTTTATAAATTCTCAATCTTAGTTACTTTAGGAAAAATGTGAAATGATGCTATTCCATGAAATTACACTTTGCACCTTGCCAAGTCGTTAGTGGAGCGTGTGTGGTTAACCGGCACACTAATTTGGGACTAGTAAAGGTGGCAAATGGTAGCTTGATGTTTATCATAGATCAATGGAGCATGTGTGGCTAACCGGCACATTGATTAGGTGATTTGTAACATCGAGAGTACCAAGTACATTTGCATGGTTATTCACACCTTGTTTGTGATCCTCGGTATCATAGTCACAAACTTGAAGGGCATATCGAGATATAAACATGTCATTGAAAAGTTCAATGAATCTCAAAAGAATCTAGGAATTTCAATTCATTTAAAAACTTAAAACTCTTTTTTGTTTTTTCATGGTGGAAATTAGTGAATCGTCATTCACTTACCTTCAAATTATTTGCAATTTAGATTACGGCATCCCTCTTCTAAATTGTGAATAATTATGTTGGGTCCTAGCCCTAATTTCTCATTTGGGTGTTTAATTGGGGATTATTATCTAATCTAAAATTTGTCTCTTTTCTTTTTCAGATGTCTACTTCAAAGACCAACGCTTCTGGCTCAACCCCTGTTAGCTCATTCTCACTCATGAATTTGTGTGGGAGGGTGATTTGTGACGGGACCAACTTCAATGATTGGATCTGCAATATCCGCATGGTCACCCGCTACGAGGACAAGGAGTATGTTCTCGACAAGGAGCTGAAGGAAGTTGACACCAACACTGCTACTCCCGAAGAGATTGTTGTGTTCGAAGCTCACGAGCGAGATACTACGAAAGTTCATTGCATCATGGTCGCGACAATGACTGCTGAACTCCAAAAGTCCTACGAGGACTACTACCCCTACGAGATGCATCAAAATTTGATGGATAAGTACCATTAAAGCGCGAGGCAGGAAAGGTACGAGATCATCGCTGCGATGATCACTACTGAGATGAAAGATGGAGAGTCCATCACGACCCACCTGTGTCACACCCCCAAACCATACAACGGAAACATCCGGGGGGTGGAGGACTTCATTTGTAGTATCACAACACATGCATCATAGTAATCAAAGTACAAACAACCATTGTATTTAAAAAAGTATAAGTATTTACATGCGTTCAATCATTGTATATTGAAACCAAAATAGTTATACAAAAAAAGAGGATATGACTCAAATTAGCTCCATCTTCTCAAAAAGCTCGGGGAGTACCTGTTTATTGTTTCCCTAAGAATACAAGTAATTTGAAAAGAGAGTATCAACATAAAGTTGAGTGAGTGCATAAGTATTTATGTTTGAAAGGGTGTCTCTGTATCTTGCATATGTAAACTGTTCCAGAAAATCCTATATTTTCTGTTGTATATGAAAAGTAGTTTTATTCCCATAAAACCGTTCCATTTGTAAACCAATGTTCTGTATTTGTAAAACTTGTAACTGAGAGTGTGCCTGGTTTCACCAGCTGTTATTGAAAACTGTATTGTACTATTGTAGTTGTATTCTGTAAACTGGTACTTTGAAGGTGTACTTACGTTTAGTTGATTATACACTAACGTATTGTTAATATCTTTTTAATGAGTTATTATAACCATACTAAGACATGATGGCCTGAAACAAACGCTTTGTGGGCGTTTAAACTGTTGATAACAATTACCACTCATTGGCGTGTATGCCTGACTGTAGCTAGCAGCCTGAGTGCGGGGTTGTCAATCCCGATATAGATCTACACACAACTTGTTTCGATCCCCTGACTGGAGACTCTGGTTATAATATCAAGACTTTACCTTGGTTGTCTAAATGAATTAAACAACCTGAATTGAATGACTCATAAAAAGCAGATAAAACGTTACATGTATATTAGTCATGAAAACCCAATCATTCTGAAATAAATGATTGACAATATGTTCTTGAATGAACATGTATTTGACAAGTGTAAACCCTTGATTTGTTTTGAATCAAAACCCTTGTTTCTTGTAAAACAATGTATTTTAGTATACTTGAATCATGAATTATTGTTCTATGTATCATAAATTATACCTATTATAATTTATATGTACTTTCTGAATCGGTATTTAACTATTTTTGCATGTAACCCCTTGCTCAACATGTTACAAAGGTATTTGAACTGATGAAATAACTTTTATATTTATATACATACACAATTCTATATATATGTAAAATTTAAACGACGTTCGGACAAATAACTGGTACTATAAGCCCACATCCAAACAAGGAAAAAACCCGGAATGAGTTATCAGTCCTAAGCCTTTTAAATCTTATTTATACACACACACACACACACACACATATATATATATATATATATATATATATA